CTCGCGAAGAATATCCGTTGTGAACGGGTGATTGTCAGATAGCGCTTCGCAACACCGACTCAAGCTTGTCATCCCAGCGTGAATGGGTGATTATACAGCTGCCCGCTGGTCGGCGCCATCCCGTCTATCAAAAGGAATCCGCAATCTCCATCACCCATGGAACCATGTGCCTGAGCACCCCCGCGCAGCACAACATCATAGCCGTCTTCGCACGCTTCCCTGTCGCGACGCCCCGCGGCAGTCTCGGTGAGCGGCTGGTCTTCTCACCTGGCGGCTGCCTGACGTAGAACGCCATCAAATCAAGATGCAGGGTCAGCACGCGGGCTTTTCTGGGTAGCTCCAGCAACCTTTCTGTGAGTTACGAGGTACCAGACCAAACCCCTATGAAGTCAGCCGCCGGTCCAAGGTCAACAACGTGCAGCCAGTCTAGGTTCAGCAACTTTTCGTTCGCATGCGGCACTTGGAAGAGAGGGCGCACATGGTCGCTTGAAGCCATGATCCGCCCAATGATTTCTGACCGTGTGCGTCGGTGCGTTCTCCGCGGCGCGTCTCTGACAGTCTGCGATGCCACCTTAAGGGGCCCCCTGGAAACACGGGGGAGGCGCCCTCCATCTCCTCATCTACCATTTCTTCCTTTACTTCCCCATGTCAAACGCATCCTTCTTCCTCCTTCCTCCTCCACCGTCCCCCTCCTCCTCCTCCCCCTCTTCCTCCTCCTCTTTCTGCTTGTCCTCCTCCTCCTCTTCCTCCTCCTCCCCCCTCCGTCCTGTCTCTCCCCCCCCCCCTCCCGCTCTCCCTCTCCCCCATCCACCTCCTGACCTCTTCGTGGTCGTCCTCCTCCTCTTCCTCCTCCTCCTCCTCTTCCTCCTTCCCCTCCACCCCCTCCCCTTAGTCTCCTCCAAGCCCTTTCTCATTCTGGTAGGGGCCGCAGGACGACGACGACGGACCCCCGCTCCCAGAGGGGCCGTCACGGATTTCGGGCCGCAAGTTCCCGCGATGGTTTGCCGTCCCACGGGATTCGCACTTCTAGATGTTGCGCAGGAAGCGCGCTTCGTTGTCCTGCCAGCCAGGTAGCATGATCACCTTCTTTATTTTTTCCAAGCACCTTGGATCTGGCACAGCGCTCCGCCAATAGGTAAACCCGCTTGTCGGCGCTTCCTCCAAACATCGCTCGCGCCGCGCCGTCGGCCGGCGTTTTGAAGCCGAGTGAGTAAAGCTCCACCGCGCCACAACGAACATGCCATCGAATGCGCGGGGGCCAATGCGCTCTTCGAGGAACGCCGCGAACGGGGCCCGCGTGTTTTTTCCAGCGCCCGGAAGCCCCTGGCAACGTGAGGCCGGCGATTCCTGCGCTCGTGGATCGGCCCCCAAAGCGGAGGGTTCCGTCCTGCCACGCGCCCAGGGCCACCAGGTGGTCGCAACCGCTCTCGGCCCTCGCTCTCTGCACGTGGCGCACAACACCGCCGTCGAGACGACTCCGGAAGCGCGCGCCGCGCGCTCAACTTATGAAGCTCATGAAGGATTCCGCGTGGAGGCATCGTCGCTATGTCCATCAGCTGTTCTGCTCCTGACGTGGGGTCCCAGCCCCTCACCTGGCAATGATAATGCGGCGGCCGCCCTCTCTTGAAGATCTGGCGCCTGATCTTCCAGGCAACGTTTTTCATGCCCGACGTGGATTCCGAGGTGTGCAGGTCGGCGACGCCTGTCGCAGACGCAGAGACGCAGTCCTCGATTATGTGAGCACTGCGCTGCCCGCTGTCTGTCATGGGGGGGCAGCTTCCGCTTGGAAAGCATCTTGATTGCCCCCCGCGGGAGACGGGCGCGAGCGCGGCTGCATTGGGCCAGCTGCTGCGGGAACGGGCGGCTGAGGCAAGAAAACCTGTCTCTGTCCCGCGCCCCTCCTCGAGGGGATCCTTCAATCCCATGCTTCGCCCCGGCCCCCCCTCGCCGCCCTGTCCTTCCACCTCCCCATCTGTCCAGAGCCCGCCCTCCTGTCTGGCTATGCCATCCGCCATTGCCAATGGTATCCAGCCCTCGCGCCCCCCCGCGGCGAGTTTTTTTTTGTTTTCGCGCCCACGCGCGCGAGTGGGGCGCGCGGGGTGGGGCGGGGGGGGGGGGGCGGGGCAGGGGGCGCCCGAGAAAGCGGGCGGCCCCTCGCGGAGGGGCGCCCAGACAGAAGAAGTGGGGCGTCACCGTTGTCGGCTCGGCGACGCATGGGCTGCGCCGCGCGCTCGTTGTCGGGCGAGGCATAGCGCCCCACCCTTGTTGTATCTGTGCATGTATATATGAATATGTAGATGTAGGGCCTCAACTCAAGAGAGAAACCCTTCGAAACGCTTGAACGACAGCTGAATGCCCTCGAACATGTGTTCCATCGTGTTGAGAGCCGCCAGGGCCTCTGTCTTCAGTGTCTCGTGCATCTCCGCGTCCTTGCCGACAGAACCAGCGGCTTCAGTTTTCACCATGAGAACCTCCATCTTCGACTCGTGCTGGTCTGCTTTGTCCACGCACTCATTGCGTTCATCAGCCCGCTTCTGGAAGCACCGACAGCCCTTGTGCTCCTCGTCCCCAGCCATGGCGGGCAGCTGATCATTCGCGCGCTTCAACTCCTTGAGCTGCTTCTGATGCTTGGCAAGCGCTTGCCTCGGCAAGGAACATAAACGCGGAGTCCGCTTTCGAAAACAAGGGGGCCCCGAGAACACGGCGGATGCAAGCCAGTGCGCCTCGCCATCCCCTCTAGGAGGGGCAGCGGGGGCAAGGCGGGGGAGAGGCCGCCCCTTGTCTGCGAGGGGCCTGGGGGGCCCCAGAGGAAGAAAGGGGGGGCTCCAGAGGAGGAAGGGGGCGGCTGCCGAGGGCGGCGCGCGACTTCGTCTTTCGAGCGCGCGCTCTCTGGCCAGCGCGGGTCCTCGACCTTGACCTCGCCGCCCGCGCCTGCCCCCGAATTGCGGGGCGAGGGGGGCTCGCCCATCCCGCTGCCTGCAGCTGCGAGTTGGCTCATGTTCTTCAGGCTGGCTATCCCCGCGAAGGTGCGCGAATCCTTCGCCGCGAGCTTGTCATCACCCATGCTGCGCACCACGAAATGTCACTGCTTCCACAGTGGCCTGTTCTTGCTATATTCCGTGGCGGGAAGCTCGTCTTCGGCGTCTTGCTCTGCGCCGTTGTCCCCCCGCCACTCCTTGCGCGAACTCCGCGGCCGCCGCGACGTTGTCAAAGTCTTTGGTGGCGAGGCTCTTCAGGGCCAACGCCTGCGATGCATGCTGGCGCCCTCTCTCTCTCTTGGCAGAGCGGGCGCGAACGTCCTCGCTCGTGCCATTATCTTCGCAGGTGGCCAGACAGACTTAAGCGCCTTGTCCTTGTCACCCGCGAAGGTCTGCAAGAAGCGCTCCCGATTGCCTGGGTCGTTCATCCTTGTCATCCTTGTCCTTGTCCTTGTCCTTGACTTCCGACCGCCTGGGTCTTTCATCCCGTTCCACATGTCTTGGTCACCCAGGGGTCCATGAAGGATGCTCGAGCGATGAAAAACACGACCAGGTCCTAATTCTTGTTTTGAGCTATAGTGCGGCCCAGGAACCCGTGAGATCGAAGTATAGCGCTGCCCCGCGCTATAAATCGACCTTGGAGTCTTAAGGGTGGGCCCCACGGAAAAGGGCTGTCTTGGGGCGTTCTTGGGGGGCCTTTTGGTCCGTCTTGGAGCGCCGGAACTTCGAAAAAACGAGGAGGCAAACACGCAGAGAAAGCGGAGCCATCTTTGGGCGTGTTGGAGGTGTCTTGGACCGTCTTGAGGCCATCCTTGGCGTTTTGGGCTCTGGGACCGTCTTGGGGGCCTCATGGGAGCGTCGCTGACTATTTTGCTGGCTTGGCGGGGACCCCCACGGCCCAGCAGTCCCTGGTGACCTTGTCGAGGAGCGTCCCAGAAGGCACCTGGGGCCAGGGATTTGTGGGGAGGTCGTTTTGGGGGAGGGTTTCCGCCCCCCAGAATTCAAAGCATAGGAAGGGGAACATGTGTACACGTATCTACATGTGCATACGTGTGTGCCTGCCTACAATGAAATGAACAAATATCGCGTGTCGGCATCTATCGACCATCGTGTGTTCGTAACGGTTCGGTTGAGGACGGAATGCGTGCGGTGTTTTTTGTACCGTGTTGCCGAGTGCCGTGTCCGTGGTGATTACGTCGTGTTGCGCGCATGATGTTTTGTGCGCGGTGCCGTTCATGTTGCGTCGCGTGCGCGGCGTGGTGCGCGGCGCGCGCGAGCAATTGTTATATGCGCGCGCGCGTGCGCGCACCTCTCTTCCCGCCCACCGTGACGCCTTGCTCCTTTTTTGTTCGACCGATAAGAAAGAAGAGGAGGAGGGCAGAGAAAAAGGATGACGAGGCAGAGGAGGAGGGCAGAGAAAAGGATGACGAGGAAGAGGAGAGCGTTCAGTTCTACGTCCTAAGCGTTGCCCTCGGCCTAGGCCGAGGATCGAAGAGGGATCTCGAACGTATGCTGATGGTCCTTGAGCGTGTTCGGCCCTTTTCGGGCCTCCGCGGGCCTTCTGGGTACCCTCCGGGTACCTCCGGGGGCCAGGATCCTGGGCGGAGGGAGAGCGTTCCGTTCCGCGAGTGCGGGTGGGCGCGTTCGCGAGCCCATGCGCACAATGGTACCCAGAGGTCGACAAATAGGGCCATGACATCTTGCGTTTTGGGGGCATGGACAGTCGAGCTGTCACCCGGGGCCTCGCGATCTCGGGCCCTTCCCCCTTTCCCCCTGCTGCAGCCGGGCCAGGGTATAAGGTCGAGGTCGCTTCGGGGAGGGTATCCTATTGTTCTTCGTGTTTGCGTGATGCTCTTGTGCATCCCAGGGATGATACCCTGGCCCTGGCATGTTCTCTGTGTGTGCTTGGCTGGCGGAGGGTCTCATGCTCTTGAAGGATGTTCTTCTGTCCCAGGTCCCTTGGCTACTCTTCCTCGGCCTGGGCCCCTCGGGGGACAGCGCGCGCGCGCGCCGTTTCCCCAGGCTCAGTCGCCTGCCCCAGGGCCGAAGGGCTCGGGAAAGAAGGGCGGGCTGAAGTCGTTCGGCGCCGTGGGTGCCAGGATCAGGGCCGAGCACTCCCTGCTCCCTGCTCCTGCACCTCCTGCCCCTCCTGCGCCTCATGCATCTTTCCTTCTCCTCCTCGTCCTTCCTGCTTCCTCCTCCTGCATGTTTTTGCGTTGGGCAAGCGGTGGCTTGCGTCTGCCTGCTCCTCCCCCTGCATTTTCTGCACCTCCTGCTCCTTTCCTCCTCCTCGTCCTTCCTGCTTCCCCCTCCTGCACCTCTTGCGCCGGAGAAGCGTTGCTTGCGTGAGCCGTCGCGTCTTAGACTCCTACAGCTCCCTGCACGAGGCGGCTTTTCTGAGGGCCGCAGGGCTTGGCCACTTGGAGTCTGGCACGGTGTCGGCCCGCGTGGCCAAACTCGGCCGTGAGATCTTGGGGGCGCCTGCGCCTCCTGGCTGCTCGCTCGACCGCGATACTCCCCAGCGATGCTCCTCCCCAGCCTTTCGTAGGTGGCCTCATTCTCCTCTCCCGCCTCCTCCAGGGCAATCGCCCAGCGGGTCCACAGGTCTGCCACGTCGGGCCAGGAAGGGGAAGGAAGGAATGGAGGGGAACTGAAGGGGAGCAAGAGAGATGGAGAGGCACAGGTTCATGGACGAGAAGGGAGAGAGCGGGAGAGGGGATGGAGAGGGAAAGGACGAGAGATGGAGGGAGAGTGGGAGATGGAGAATGACGTGGGAGAAGCACCCATTGGGCGAGCATTGGGTGGGGGGGAGGGACAAAGAGGAGGACAAATCCAGTGGCAGCAGCGAACTCAGATCCCCGATGCCGTGATTCTCCCGCAACGCGGGATCCCGTAAAGCTCGATCCTTCACGGGGAACCGGTTTTTCATCCGATTCGTTTTCTGACGGCCTTGGGTCACGTGAGGGTCTCACAGAGACTGAAAAGTACGTTTAGTGTTCGTCGTGAGTTACGCTTTCGACACCACAAACGACGAGATGGGGTTCGGTCCTGGGTGTCCAATATCACCTCCTGAGTATATCCTGGGGTGATGCTGATCGGATTTGCGAGGCGGATCCAACCGTCAGGACGAGAATCCTCCCAGAGCAGAGGCCAGAAAAGCCCGTAAGACGTCCGAAAACCTCGAACCTCGAACTTCAAGGTGGGCGAGCCCTCGCTGCTGCGCGGGCCCCCCAGCCCCCGCAGGCTAAGAAACAGGGGCATCGAGGAGGGCGGAGGGAGAGAGAGCAGGAGGAGGAGGGAGGGAGGACAGGGCCCAGACATCCGAAGCTTTTTTTTCCCCCCACAGTGGTTCCTCCGGCATCTGGAGCCTTACCCCTGGACCGGCCTTTCATCCCGAGTCGATTCTTGCAGGTCCCAGGGCCCCGCGGAGGCCCCCAAGAGGCCGAAAATTATGAAACAAATTGTCCTGCGCGATTTCGTCGCAACACAAGGGGGCCTCGGGGGTGGAGGGGTGGGCCAACGACGACGCAGCCGACGACGACGACGACGACGACGACGACGACGACGACGACGACGACTACGACGACGATGACGACGACGAAGATGACGACGACGACGACGACGATGACGACGACGACGACGACGCAGCCGACGACGAAGACGACGACGACGACGACATCGGCGGAGGCGGTGGGGAGCCCTCGCTGCCTTGCGGGCCTCCTGGCCTCAGGAGACCCGCGCCAGCGGCCCTGCCGTGGAGCCCGCTGGTCCCCCGCGGCCTGAAGCGGACCCACGAGGAGCGCCGGGGCGGCCCCGAGCCCGACCCGGCTCGACTCGGGCCCATGCCCAGAGCTCCGAAGGATTGGCTCATGGATTCAGCCTGCATGGCCGCGAGGGTTGTGCTAAGGGGAGGTGGGCGAGGACTCGTGGATACGCCCATCAGAAATCTCAAGACAAATCGGCAAGTGTCATGGATTCCAGATACCGCTCAAGAAAATCAGGAATATGGTATGGACCCTGGGCGTTTTCTTTGAGCTTGTTTTTGTTCGTATAAAAAATCGTATATCTGGACCTGGATTGCGGTCTAAGACAACCCTTGGAACGAAGGTCATGCTCTTAGCGTGAAGTTGTTTTTAACTCTAAGCGGGGGTGTAGCGGTCGCTCCGCCAGTTCTGGCCCATCACGCTTCGGCGCGATACGCTATCCGCATCCCCATTCCAAAGCGTCAACGTCCCAGGCTTTCCCGAGCCTCCCTCCTCCCGCCCCGTGGAGCGGATTGACACGTTATATCCGCTTGCGCGGCACAGCGTGTCGCCGGGGCCGCCGCGGCGACACGATGTCCAAAAATTCCTGACCGTAGGGGGGGGTCAGAAGTGGATGCCAAGGCGCAGGCGGTTTTTCTCCCCCAATCCCCGAGTTCCTCCTGAAAGTATTGCCGCTCGGAAAAACCTTGGGATACACCCCAAGGGGGCTATCCGGATGCACCCCTATCGAGGATGGAGACCCTCACATTGTATATCCAAGGGTTGGGCCCAAAAATGTTGGCCTTCCACAGCCTGGAATAGGGATCGACATATCCCCTGTTACTGAGGTGAGTGAAATCTGGCCTGACGTAGCTGGTCAAGAGGCTTGCAGATGCCGGAGATGTGTTAGGGTGGTTGCGGGTCTGGTCTAAGTCGGCGGAGCCCACTTCACGGAGCTATATAATCTAAATCAACCTAGAGTTTTCAGGACATGTGTAATTCATGTGTAAGTTATGTCAGGCCAGACATAAACTACCTTAGCACCCGTCTCTAGGCCCCCTATCCCCTCAACCCCCCCCGCGATCATCTCAGGAGAGGTTTACGCCAACATATCCCAGCCTCCAGGAGATGAGATGTGCGGCTTCCAATTTCGTATGTGTCGTTTGCCGGTGCCCGTCTTGGTGCCTGCGCGTAGTTGCTGCCGATTCGTCCTCCTCTTTTTCCCCCTGGAGCATCAGCCAGACAAGTCGGGTTTGCACCCTCTTGCCCTTGCCCTCTGGATTCTGGGCGCGTTTCGATATTTCCACTGCCGCCGCCACACCCTCGTCAGGGCCATCGACACGGGTGGGCCCTTTCCCTAATCCGCGCTTCGGTGCGGATCGTCTGCGCGCCTCGTCTTCTTCGTCGTCGTTGTCGGCGTCGTCGGGACTTGCTTCCCTTATGCAGTGACCTTCCACCTGCCACCTCCTTCTCTTCTTTCTATGCGTCTGTTGCGGGGCCTCTTGCGCGGAGCCGCATCCCCAAACTCGACCCGGCTCGGCCAGCCCATGTTCAGACTTTCCCAGACCCTTCGCGTCAGGCCGCCGCAAGGTTTTCGGTCTCCCAAAGTAAGAGACTCCACCTGCTTAATGTTGGCTTGCTTGGCTATCCCTGCGGGTTTCGGGCCTCGTTGTTTCGCTCGGTCATTGTCCCTCCGCCGCCGTGTCCTTCCTCTGGCCCGTGCTCGTTCGACTTTTTCGGCCCCTCGTTCGGTCCTTTTGCTGCCTGGGGGCTAGCGCTTGATTCTAACCCACGTCCCCCCCCCCTCGCGTCCTGAAAGAAACACTCGCGACGGCATGTGTTCTGCAGTTTTTGGCCTCTGGGGGCCCTCGCTGGTCCCCGGGACGGTCAAGGTGTGACTCGGGATGCAAAGCCCGTTTGGGTGAATGGGTCGAGACTTTTGGCGGGTCCGCGCTGTGAGCAAATCATGACGCTGGGAGTCTGCGACTGAAGGAGTGATTTTCTAATCCCGGCATTTGTCCCGCAGTTTCGGTTCCGGGGGGCAGCTCTCGGGCCCACGGACCACGAAAACATACATTTGGGATGGACGGTTGCCCCCAGGGCAGGATTTGGATGGCTTTTGAAGAGCGCTTCGTCAGATGTATGGCTGGGCAGGGGCCAGAGGAAGGCTTCCCCTTCCCAGGGACGAGGGAAGAAGGAGAAACAGGAGGGAGGAGCGGGAGGAGGAGGAGGAGAGGAGGAGGAGGAAACGACGGGCGCCTGGTGTGCAGGGCACCTTACAAATTTTCGCATCACCCAAATGTCCCAAACATATTGTGTTGAGTTCGGTCTTCGTTTTGAAGAGAGCGCCCCGCGTCACTCTCTTCTCCTCCTCTTCTCCCCCTCCCCCTCCTCCCTCCTCCCACCCTTGCCTCTGCCCCTCGTATACCCCCATCACCAGCATCGTCATCACCATCACCATCATCATCATTATCATCATCACCACCATCATCAACACCAGCATCATCATTAACATCAACATCATCACCAACATCATAATCATAATCCTCATCATCACCACCGTCATATCCCCTCTACTTTCACGTGTTTGCTTCGGCGCATCCCTCACACGCTTCGTGGCCCCATAGGGAGCTCCACCTACGGCCCCAGTGGCTGTGCCCGTATGCCGTCACCCCGTCGTCCTGGCACACCCCTCACACGTTACGTGGTCCCACAGGGAGTTCAAACCAAGGCCCCAGTGGCTGCGCCCGCATGCCGCCATCCCGTCATTTTGGCACAATCCTCACACGCTTCGTGGCCCCATGGGGAGCTCCACCTAAGGCCCCAGTGGCTGCGCCGGCATGCCGCCACCAAATCACTTGAGCACACCCTCGCACGTTTCGTGGTCCCACAGGAAGGTCCGCTTAAGTCAATGCACTCCTCTCCGCACCACCATCCTGCTGCCCTTGCCTTCTCTTCTTTGCACTGACATGTTTGACTGCTGCAGCTATTTAGGCTCTAGAATAGCGGAAAAGGAGCGTGCCGGCCCTCGCGCGCGTCGGCCGTCGGGCCGGCCTCCTCCCTTCAGGGTTATTCTACAGTCAGCTTAACGGAACATACCTTCCTTGCCATGGTTTCGGCGGAGCCCCCTGAACATGAGACACGATCGGAACATATTGCAGGGATTATTGATGTCCAAGCAAAAAACAGGTTATCAGCCGAAACGACGGCTCAGCCGTTGGCTTCGCTGAGCATGGGATCGCAGGAAGGAGCGCTCGGAGGAATAGAACAACAACGCCGTCCCGAGCGTATTAATAAGACAGGAGCCCCTAGGGAGCGGCCTCATTTCTCAATCTTCCCAGAAGGCAAGCATTGGAGTCTGCGTTTGATTTGACAGAAGGGGATTCCCCGATGGATAACCAGACGAAGACAAAAACCTCAAAAGCCAGGCAGAATATATGGCTCAACCAGCGCTTCCGTCAGAAAGCTCTCAGAAATCGCATCAGTGCACTCGAGCCCGCGGACGTCAGTCGACTCGATCCATGGAGAGGAGATATCGCCAGGAAGTGCCCCATAGGAATGGCGGATGAAGAGAATCGGAACGAGGAACAAGGTACATAGTTTGTGATGAATGGACAGGGCGAAGACGAGAGGGACGGACAATCGGAGGAGGAGAGTTCGCATGGGGGTGAACAGAACGAAGAATATCTTTAATTTCATATGTCGCCTGCTCCATCGCATCACCTCAGTCCTCTCCCGGACGGATCTGACGGGCTCGCCTCAGGCGCAGGCTCGTCGGAGACAGAGACGCTTGATTATGTGCCGGCCGAGGATCTTCGGAAGACCCGTCTCGATGCGGATGACGACCTCGGGGATGAAAGAAGCCCCGACAGAGAGAGAGAGAGATTGAGAGAGAGAGAGAGAGAGAGAGAGAGAGAGAGAGAGAGAGAGAGAGAGAGACAGAGAGAGAGACAGAGAGAGAGAGAGCGGATCGTGGAAGGGAGAGTTCGTCGGCTCAGCCGATAGTGAATTCGCCCGATGCCGCGCGCCCAGCTAGGCACGCGAGAGAACCGACCGGTGCGACCCCGCTCCCAAAGACAAAGAGAACCGAGAGCGATGCTGAAGATCTCAATCCTCCACCGTTATCGCAGGGTTTCTATCGACCAGATTTCGCGCTACCAAGGGCTGACCATGACAGTGCACCAGAGCTTGGCGAGCTCATTATGCAAGATGAAAGGGATGAACAAGCGCGGAGGCAACGCGCCGCTCTTAGGAACTCGGGGTCAAGAACGAGGGAGCAACATGCACCCGCATCCAGCAGAGGTCGCGTAAAGGCTCCAACAGCCAGATGCTCCAGCTCCAGGGGATTTGATGCCTCCGGATCACCTCGTCCATCATCGAACAGGACCGCTCGCAGTTTCTCGACCCGGGAAAGCTGCTGGGACGCAGGCTCCAGATGACCACCCCGGGCAGAGAATCGCTGCCCGGGGGGAACGCGCAAAACCGGGGGGCTCGCGTCGCTAACCTGCGCGCGCGCAATGTTCGAGGGTGTGCCTAAAATGCAGTTTAGCGTGGCTCTGTGAAGAATGCATTGCGCTGGAGGAACACGACGCCATCACATTGCCATTCAGGAGTGGGAAGGAAAAACAGAGACACGATAGGTGGCAACTGAGAGCAGCAAGTGCACAGATACAATAGATTCTTCTCAGGGCACATGCGGGTAAGGCGGCCGCCGAAGAAGCCGGCCGCAAGCTCGCCGAATCCGCGGCAGAAAAGAGGGCAGAGGCAGATAGAGCTGAAAAGGAAAAGGCTGCCATCGCGGAAGGGGCGCATAGACGGATGCTGCAAGCGGAGGCGGATGCAGCAAGGATTGCGGGCGTGGCCCAGGCGCGCCTCGCCCAAGATGAAGAGGAAGAACAGCGAAATATTCAGTGTGCGGCCGAACGAATGTTGCCATCGTCCCAACAGCAGGCCGAGAAAGAGCGAGTTGAATCTCAAATGATAGTTGATGCCGCCAGACGGGAAGGGGATAGAGAGGCCCGAGAACAGGCAGCGCGAGAAAACCAGGAGCTTCG